TTGAAACGTTTAGTTTTAGAATGAATTATTATCAACGATTGAACAATTTTGGTTGTTATTTAATTTGTTGTGTGAACGATCGTATGACTTATGGAATACGTATAGTATAGTGGAGCAGTGGAAGAAAGTACCCAAAATACAATTTGAAGATTGATGCATTGAACTTTTACACATTCATATTTTTCCTTTTCAAGTAAAGGCGAAGACAGATTTGTGTTTTTTAGCCTTTTATGTGACGTGCTATACGTAGGACATTTTTATTCTTATTTTTGTTTTGTTTTCCCTTCGTCAACGTGTTTGTTTTCTTTTCTTTAGCAACTAATTAATTTTTGGGTTCAATTCATTTAGCCTACCAATTAAATAATTATATCATTATATGTTTTGTAATCATCAGTACAAGTACAACTAATGCGTACTGAAATTTTTTTTTTTTTTTTGGGTACTGATTAGTTATATCTTCATAATCATAAAGACTTCATAAGATCCTTTCCACTTAATATCTAAATTGAATGTTGAAGTCGACCTATACCTTAAACCAAAACAAATGTCTGCATGCAACGAAAGAAAAAACTGGTTAGTTTTTTTTTGCTTTAGTTTTTTTTTATAAATAGCATTAATATTTTTAAGCTTAAATAGATACACATATGTGTAACCGCTCTGATTATTCTTGTCCATACTCCGTACTTTCTCGCCCATGCACATTTTGGATTTTACGTTCATCTAACGGTCGATTTCTTATTATAAAATTTAATATAATTGATTTATTAAGCTTGTATATTACCATGTGAGATTTTGTTTGTGTTTTGTTCTCATGCAAATACTGTAAAAAAAAATTTAAACGTCGCCCATTTATTATATTGTTTCGTTCAAACACTTAAACTATATATGAATGTATTTTTTTTAAACTAGTAAAAGACCAATATATATAATCAGATTAGTTTACTTCAATTTTCTCACATGCATGCACGGATGCACCATATTTCTGGAAATCAAAACATTTTATGTTCAAATGTATTACCATCGACTATATTCTTGTTTCTATTGGATGACTCTAGAATATTTTTATTTTTGGGAAATTTNGTCGCATAACCATAAAAAAAAATTGTATCTAATAATCTAACCAAAAATCACCTATGTGGCAACATCCTAACCATTTGATCTAGGATTTTTAGTTAGATTATTATATATAATTTATTTTGGGCTAACGAGTTCAATATACACATTTGAGATTTTTATTACGAATGTATCACTTTTGTCATTTTAAATAAATTCATTGTAACTATTTTGGGTGGTTTTTACGGTTTTATCCTTGG